TGTTCCAGAGCTGCCGTTCAGGGAGCCCCACCAGGAGGAAAGCCTGGGCCGCTGGGGCTCCCTCCTGGACTCAGCTGTGGGTCCATCCACAGCCCAGAGCCACATGTATGACGGGCAGGGCTCGGGCCTCGGTGGAAAGCCTGCGGTGCCTGAGTGAGGAGGACTGTCCAGTTCCCTTCGGGAGGCTTGGCCAAGCTCACAGATGACCAAGGATGGAGGAGGTCTCCAGCCAGGAGAACCCTGGTGGGCCTCAGGGAGGAGGAGGTGTCTGGGGAGGACCCTGCCACTTGGAGTGCACTTTGGGAACTGAAGGAGTGCTGTCGGGGGGCAGGCCCCAAGCAGCCTTCCCTCCCGTCCCCACTCTGTCCTCTGTGAATACCCTGTGGCCCCATTTTCTGCCCGCACATTCATCTCATTTCCTAGGAACCCACAAGGAGAGATAGTGGCAATTAATATTTTTATGCAAATGCTTTCTGCCTCGGGGCGTACCCTTGCTGTGATTTATGAACAATGATTAAAAATAACTCATTTAATGTAATCTAACATGGACAAATATGTGAGGACAAGATTAAATTAAATTCCTTCCCCCTGGAAAAAGAACTTTGAAGGTCACCACCCTCCTGGAAACGCGAGCCGTTTCTTCCACTGGTGTTTTGGGTTTTGGCTCTGAGATAAACTTCTAAAAATAAAAGAAGCTGCACTCGCCATGCTGTCCTGGGTGCAGTCTGGGCTTCGGGTTCATTTCCAGCCACCTCCCGGGACTGGAGCTTCTCTCTGCCCAGAGCCCAGGCTGTGAATGAGGATGAGCTGGTGACTGTCCGTAACAGGACGGCCTCCCCAGGGCCCAAGTGGCCTCGGCTCACCTGGTGCTTCTCCCTGCCTGCAAACCACTCGAGCCCCGCAGAGGACCCCAGAGCCACAAGTTAACAAGGCCGCGGGCCCGAGGGGGACAGGGTTCTGCCTCCTCAAAGACCCGGGCCTTCAGGCCAGGGCAGTGTCTGGTCTGGTTAAACAATGTCTTTGCACCACACAGGGAAGGTGCTCAGGAAACACGCAGGGAGCCTGGCACCAGGAAGCTGCCGCTGGGCTGGGAACTGAGCCAACAAGAAGACTCTCCTCTGGTGTCGGCTCCCCCACTCACCTGCGCCCAGCGCTGTGCACGTCTCCAGGGTCTTCCCACCACAGGGGAAGGTGGGCCACACGTCCTGGCTCCAGGCCACGTCAGCCCTGACACCCGCTGACTGGTGGGTGCCCAGGCTCTGATGCCTGCAGCAGCGGGCCACCTTCTCCGGCAGGGGGAAGGTTCTGCAGCCCGGGAGATGCTGTGGGCCAGGGCTCCATGTTTACTGAGCCTCCTTCCCCAGGGAAGTCCTGGCTTTCTGGACTCTGCTTCTCAGTCTGTGCCCTGAAGTATACATGCCAAGCCAGGACCCCAGGCAGGAAGGAGATCGTCTCTGTGTCCTTCCTACTGGGGGCTGGACAGCTGCCATCTCTTTGTGGTGACACCCAAGCATCCAGCTGCATGACCACCATGCCACCAACCTGTCCACTGAAACACTGCTCCCTGAGTGTGTGTCCCACGTGACAGGGCCAGAACCGCCCAGTCAGGCCGTCCCAATATTCTTCTGGAGTCAGGAGTTTTACAAGGGCTCTTCATGCAGATGATAGGCCGGCACCATGTCCACAACAGCTGGACGACTATTGATAATGCTCAGCTGAAAAAAAAGCCAGTGACAGTGACGTCTCATTGAAATGTGCACATGGTAACCCAAGGCAGTCAGGTGTCACAGTCTGGGACTCGAGAGTCACAGTCTGTGAAATAAAGAATCGTGCACTTTCCTGACTCCAGTGTGGGTCTTCTTTCACACTGTAGTGCCTCTGAAATGTGGCTGTCTTAGCTGGGTATGACGGTGCACCCCTGTGATCCAGCTTCTCGGGAGGCTGATGCAGGCAGGTGACGAGTTCAAGGGCAGCCTCAGCAATGTAACAAGACCCCGTCTCAAAATACAAAGGGCTAGGGATGCAGCTCAGTGGAAGAGCATCCAGGCTCAGCCTCCAGTACCACAGGAAGTGAAAGAGGGTGTCTTTGGTCATCCTTGATCCTTCAGTCGGTGGTCGTGACACAGAGGCCACGGCCTGGGTCCGCGCCCAGAGCTCACGGACCAGGGCAGTGCTAGGTAGAAAACCCAGGCTTCCAGGTGGGCACACCCTCAAGAGAAGGGACCTGGGTGCTCCAGATGGCAGGAGGACGACGCTGTGTGAACAACAGAACAAGTGATTCTTCATCACACATCCCAGAAGATGAGGGGAAAAACCATATGTGTGTATATATATGTATGTTTACATGTATACCACGCGTACATAGTACATATTATACCATGTAATGTATAATACCGTGTGTGCTATATGACCTTCCATGTTGACAATGTATGTCATTCATATATAAAATATAAGCACATGGATTTCTATATGGATGTATTTTCTTTTTAATTGTGTGACTAAGAGGATGGTAGCCTGTGAAGACATTCCTGCCAGGTCCCCAGAAGCTGTGCATATGTGATGCCATGCATAAAGAGGCCCCAAGGTCGTGGGTGAATTGAAGCTGCCGGTCATCTGACCTCACAACAGGGCGCCTACCTGGACTCCCCCGGTGGCACTTGGAACAGTGTGTGCTGCAGACTATGCAGTGGCCCAGCGCCATCAGAAGGGCCCTTGGACTTGGCGAGCTGGGCAGGAGTAGAGTCACCGAGGCTTCCAGGCTGTTCAGCTGCTGGCTTTTAGGAGGGAGCAGAGAGCCACAAGCCAGGAACCCAGAGGGGACTCAGGAAGGAGGCCCTCTGGGGTCTGCAGAAGGCGCCATCCCGGCCCACCCTCAGCTTTAGCCCCAGGAGACCCAGGTCAGACGTGTCACCTACAGAATAGTAAAACCATAGACTCGTGTGGTTTTAGGCCACTGAATTAGTGATGATGGGTTACAACATTGAAAGGAAGCTAATGCAAATACGTAACTGGATTTATCTCACTTCTGTTTTCATGATGTGCAGACCACAGTGACGCGGGAGGGATTAGTAAAGCCATTACACGTGTAATGGCTTTAATGACGGGAGTGCCCGGCGGCCCTGGAAGAGGACTGCCCCAGCTGAGCTTCATCCCTGGGCCTCCAGGTGTCCTGGCCTCCTGCCCAGGACACCGGGCCACTCGCTCGTCTGGGAGGCTGGATGGATGTGTCTGTGCCTCGGTGACCTGGGGAAATGAGTCCTCACGGTGCCGGGCCCTGGGCTAGATCTTCTGCGGCTGGGAACCAGCAAGAGTGTGCAGTTGCAATTTAGCAGCCATGACCCCCCTGAAAATAACTCTCACAAAAATGTCACCTCGGAATCTTTATGACGTGAGCGGTCCATCCATCTTCCCAGCAGGTCAGCTCCTGGCCACCCGTGGGGAAGGATTTTCAGGAAACCTTTTCCAATAAATCACGAATCCCCTTCTCCCACCGCGTGGGAGAGAGAGCTCCAGGAACCCGGAAGGCAGAGGGGGAGACGCTGCCCCAGGCGGCCTCACGGCCTCCTCCCAGCCCCGCTGACCACTGCAGGCACAGCCAGCCACCGGGCCCTGTGCTTCCTGGCGCCTGCCCCTGCGGATCTCCGGAAGCACCACTCAGTGCTGCCGGCTTCAGAGCAGGAGAGACGGGCTCCCGACCTCGCTCGCCACCTGGGGTCACTGCGACAGCCCCACGCCGTCCTTGTGGGGAGCCAGGCCCCTCGAGCCTCTCCTCCCAGAGCTCGCAGCAGACACCCTCAGGGACTGCGGTGGAGTCTCCACAAAGGAGCTCCTTAGAGGAGGACAAAGTAGCAGACAGGAGATGGCCAGAGCCTGCCCTGCCCCAGGGCTGCGTGTCGCCAGGCAAACCTTCTCCCCCGTTTGTCTGCAGAACGTGGCTGGCAGTGGGCCCCGGAGCCTCCAGACGTGCCACACAGGAGCGCGGAACAGGAAGATGCTTCTGAAAGCTCTGGACGCCGCGGCCTGGCGGGTGAGCTGGGCTGCCAGCGGGATCCAGGAGCAGGGCAAGAGCGCCTGGGCATCAGTCTCGCCCCGGAGCACGTCCTGCCAGTCTGTCTGTTCTCTGTTGAGGAAGGATAGGACACGCACCTACCCTTGGGCGCCACCCTTCCTGGCCCTGACCATTCCTGTCCTGTGGCTGTGTCTGTGCCTGTGGAGGTCTGCGCTTCTCACTCTCCTGGGAGCGTGTCACTAACCAATGTCATAGAAGGCCACTCACACGTCTGCAAGACGCCTGGGGCCCTGGGGTCTGAGCAGTCTGGAGTTGAAGGAGACCCGACTCCAGTACTGTCCACGGGGGGGCACCAGGTGGCCAGAGGGTGGGCAGTGAGTGGCAGTGGGGGGAGCTTAGGGACTTGGGGCTGACAGGTGGAAGACAGGGAGTGACATTCCCACCAGGTGAAGACAAGAGCCAGGTTTTCAGACTCCGGCTCCTTCCACTTGCCTCGGTACAGGCCCCACACTTTGGAAAGGCACGGCCCAGGCTAGGGAGGGACCAGGGACGCGGCTATCCCTGAGCCACCTCCTCCCGTGTCTGAGGGTGATGATGGGGGGCATCAGGGACCTGGAGGGCCAGCTGGCTCCTTGGGGCCTCCGACGTGGGAGTGGAGCTGGGAGCGCCATGCTCTCCTCTCTGCACCGAGGACAGCGGGGGCTGCTGCCCATGTCAAGGACATCGGGAAGGGCGAGAGCCTGTGCTGGCGAACAGGACCTGCCCAGCCAAGGTGGGGCGGGGGAAGCCAGCGCCCAGAGGAGGACGGGGACAGAGCCTGTGGCCCAGGAGGGGAGGCAGAAAGGACTGCACGTTTGTGGGTCCCAGGGCTCCCCCACCCAGCGGGTTACCCTGGCTCATGTGACAACTTGAGCGACACCAGGTCTCCCAGCGCTCAGCTCTTGGCACAGGTGGGAGTTCAGCAGGTCTGCTGCTAAAAAGTCAGCAAAATTAGAGAAGAGGCCCGAGGGAAGTCGGGGTACTCACAGACGTTCCAGTGGGGAAGTCCCCAAACAGCCTGGGACATGAGTGGGTCCCACCCGGAGCACGAGGAGCCTGGGCTGCTTGGCAGAGGTGCCCGCGGGTTCACAGTCCTGGGAGCGGGGAGACTCCAAGGCAGGCTCCACTGTGGCAGAGCAGAGGGGGTCTCGACTCGAGAAGAGACCAAAGGCTGGCTGCTGCGGGGATGAGACTCCCCGAGCAGACTCCAGCGGCATCCTCTGACCTCTTCTCAGTGACCTTGGCCCCGGGCTAAGATGCTGCTCCCAGGGGTCAGGAGGCAGCGTCAGCGCAGCATCTGAACCCATCCCCAGCCCTCTCCCTCTCACCTCTGGCCACCCGTGCTGCCTCGGACGAAGACCAGAAGGAGTTCCAGCCTGGACAGTCCGAGCTGGAAGGGGCAAGGCACCAGGGACAGCGGGCAGCCCTGGGGGCTGGTGAGGGTGGCAGAGCACCAGGTAGGGGGGCAGGTGCCCTGGCCTGCAGGGATGCAGTGACAGGCCTCGGAATGTCTGCCCAGGCTGCCCAGGCTGCGGAGGAGGGGCCAGGGCAGGGGAGGACAGAGGCAGGGGAGGGAGAGGCCACGTGGGCAGAGCAAGGCTGAAGGAGGCCGCACCCGGAGGCCCTGAGCAGAGCGTGCAGCCAGATGGGGAAGCCGCAGGGGGCTGGGAGGACAAGGGACCCTTAGGGACACACTCAGGACCATGCTCAGGACACGGACAGCCTGAAGCAGGAACGGGTGCAAGTGTCATGAGTGTGCTGGTCCCCGTTCTGGCCTGTCCCCTGTCCTGGTGTCCCCTGACACAGAAGGGACTGATAATCTCAACCTCAGGCCCAGGTCTTCTCTCTGAGTCTCTTTTCTGTGAATCTGTGAATAATAAGGCATCTCTGTGCAGATGTCTTCTTGCCTCCTCCATTCATTTACTCAGAAATAAATGAATTCTCAAGCGTCCGAATCGCGTGCTCCTGGTCCCTAGACGGCCAGCACAGGCCTGGACCCTGGGAAGTGCTCTCCTGCCTGCTCCCGGGTAATTTATCCTGAGGATCGTTTGGAGCCAGGAATATGGAGAGCTGTGACTTCATAATCTGAGATTTATGTGTCATTAAGTTCCAGCAGCAACTGGTAATAAATAAGCGCCAAGTACCCGCGGCTCCCACCGAGCACCACGCAAGGTGGTGGAGGAGAGCGAGGTGGGAGGAGCTTCGTCCAGGGGCTGGGATCAAGCTGTTCGGGTCCCGGGAGGAGCCCCAGCATGCTGGGGAGCGGAAGTGCACCTGGAGGGCCACTCCAGCTCCCAGGCTGGTCACCAGTGCCCACCATGCATCGAGAGTGGGTGTCCAGAAGGCAGAGTGAGATCTGCAAACCCCCAGGGCCCGGCTGGGTTCAGCCCTGGTTTGTGAGCAGAAGCTATCCACCCTGAGGCCGAAAAACAGGGGCAGCTCATTTAGGCTGCTCTAGGAGAGATAAACACCGTGTCACAGGAACACAGACACCAGGGAGCGGAGGCACAGGCTGAGTGTCCCTTATCTGAGATTCTCAGGACCAGAGGTGATTTGGATTTCAGATTTTTCAATTTTCTTTGGAATATCTGCATAGACATAATGAGACATTTTAAGGGAGAGGAGCCAAGTCTAAGCAGGGCGTTCATTTATGTTTCACAGACACATTATACACATAGCCTAGAGGTAATTTATACGATGCTCGTAGTGAGCCTGCGCCTCCACAGAGAAACACTGCATGGAATTTTCCGTTCCGGACAACGTGGTGCTGCTCCAGAAGTTCCAGATTTTGGACTTTGAGATGAAGCAGGCTCTTTGCACCCGAGGATCCACAGTTCCAACATCCCTATGTATATGTTTAAGATTTCCCCTCCTTTGCTCTGTGTGGCATCTCTGACAAATGCATAGATGACGGTGACGGTTTACTCCCACATGCTTGATTTCCTCCGAACATGGTATTCCGCTGTGTTTGGGGTGGGTGATCTCTTCAGGTTGACGTGTAAATGGGAGCTGGAACATTCCGCTGCGGCCTGGCTGTCATTAACCCAGAGTTGTCCTCCTTCATGCAAACCTGTGGTGACTGAGACGGGAGGCTGTGGACGTGGGGACAGACGGGGGGGACTGGAGCAGGAGGGAGCGGGAGGCAGGCCCCTGGGTGTGTGGCTGCAGAGCAGTTGGTCTGGCACGTCCGTGAGTCGGGCACCGACCTGGGAGTCGCCGTCCCCTCTGTTCCCTCTGGGTGGACCGCCTGCTGTGCCATCGCCATCTCTTCATCCCTTTGCCTGCAGAATTGTTGAGACAACTCCGTTCATACCGACATACCCAGGGAGCCGTGCCCAGCTCCTCCTGGCACATTCCTGTTTGTCCATCGCTGTCCCGACGTCAGTACCAGAGGCTGGGCGGGTCCCGGGAGTCACACTGAACCCAGGGCACTTCACCACTGAGCTCATCCCCAGCCCTTTCCATGTTTTGAATCTGCTTCTCACTGGTTGCTGAGGGCCTCTCCAAGTTGCTGAGCCTGGCCTTGAAATTGTGATCCTCCTGCCTTAGCCTCCCCAGTCACTGGGATTGTAGGTCTGTGCTGTGACACCCAGCCACCACTGTTACATGCTTATATATAAATGTTGATCACTAGTCACCGAGTGGTAAACAAGGCCATAAAGCCCTGGGATAAAGTCCACATCAAATGTGCCCTGTGACGGTGACCATCAACAAGAAGTCTCTTTGCACTATATGAACTATGATTCATCAGTGAGGATGAAAAATAAAGATTTTCCAGAAAAAGGCATTGCTCTCTGTGCCACACCTTGCTTAATTTCCTTGGCTTTATCTTTCAGTTTATTAATTATCTTTTCAGCTGTGTTTAATCTGCTGCTCAATATGACCAATAGATTTCAGATTCTCTGTGTTGTGTTGTGCGTGTGTGTATGTGGGTATGTGTGTGAAAGAGAGAGAGAGAGAGAGAGAGAGAGAGAGATAGAGAGAGAGGGATTGATGTACATTTCTAGGTAGTCACCTGGTTCTTTTGCAAACCTACTTATCGGTTTCTGCTTTGCACGCTTGTGTTCTCTGTTTGGTTGGGTGTATCTCTCCCCATCTGGACGGTTCAAGCCTGGCTCCTGCTCTGGTCTACATTCCTTCCCTCAGGCTGGACTCTGCTTCTCCGGGCCAAGATTTGTAAGTTTGAATTGTGAGCTCATCTTCATGAGGCTCTGGGACCTGATTTGGGTCTGCTCCTCCAAGTCTGCTCTGCATTACCTCTTCCAGGCATCCCGGGAGTCACAGGACCCTTGCACGTGATTCCATAGCTCTCCTTAGCTTAGGTCATCCCAAAAGCAGGGGACAAAGATCTACCCAGGGGAGGAACAGACCTGGCTCTGATCTCCCCAGGAAGACTTCCATCCTGCCTCCACCCACCGCCTGCCCTGGGGTCTCCCTGGTCCTACAGGAAGTTACTTTCCTCCCCTCACCCGTCCTTCCTGACTGCCAGGGCCTCCGGCCGCCCCTGCCTGTCCTGCCAGCCCCCTGTCCCCTGGTGCAGCCCCAGAGGTGGCACACCCTGCCGCACCAAGGCCCAGCCCCACCATCCCACCACCCAACAAGGAGCCACTGGACCCACTATCAACGAGTCCCTCTTGTATGGTCTGAAGATGGAGAGAGAGAGAGAGAGAGAGAGAGAGAGAGAGAG